CTCTGCAGTTTATATCCTATTTCGGCTTTTAAACACTTCTAGAAAGAGTTCAGAATCACTGGGAAATTGAGAATGAGGTTTCCTTAGGAGGTAGTCTGACTCATCCATACAGTACTCTGGCTTTAGGAGTTTTACAAAACTCTGCTGGTTTCCATGGGATTCCCCTGGCATAGCTGAATAGATTCTGTTGCCTTTTCTACACTATGACAGTTATGGAGTAGCCCCTCAGCAAGCCAAAGTTTTCAGTACTGAACTTGTTGTTGTTATTCTAAAGGCAAAGTGCAACTACTACCTACAGCTTAGATGAGTCAGCTCTGATAAACATGAAGAGACTAAAAATACTTCATTTAGAGCCCACAAAAGGAGGCATGGATACTGGTTTTGATAAGCAGCAACTCTCTGCACATTGGCAAGCACCCAAGTGGTTTATTGAACTCAGATTTCCCATATGTCACTCCACTTTCATATATTCCTTTTGTTCTTCTTTTTGAATTTAACACATTTCTAGTATAACCGCTAATTAACCTGGCAAACAACTCAGCCCCCTAGGGCTCTGCTAGTGCTGTATTCATCTATCTTGCAATGTCCACGTTTCTGTACTGACTGTTTCTAATTGAGTAACATCCTACATATCTATTCATTTTTGGCTTTTATTCTGCCCATATGTGCAGCTCTCCCCTCACCAGAGAGAGGTTTGGTTTTGTGCTGCATGAGGAGGCAGACTTACCACCTCTTGTCTATAAATTAGAAGCATCATTTATGTGTCTGCCAGGCACCAACTCCAGTAAATGACCTTAAATTAACATGTTGGTGGGACTTGTGCTCAGTGCTTGAATTCAGTAGGTTGAATCTTCTGCCCTAAGTCCTACTATGATTCCATTGAAGTCAATGCAATTACACCACTGTGGGGGCAGGCAGGAATCAGACCCAGTGAAGAGAGATGAGGATATGTAACTGTCAGACCACAAACACTGCTTGGAGGGGTAGCTTGGATAGAAGTAGCTGTTTTCTCTACTGGACAACTTGTTTTTAAGGTCATCAGTTAATCTTGCTTTCGTTTTCCCCCTTGGATGTCTGTCTGGCTTGCTCAATAAAATAAGGATTTGCAGCATCTTTATTTGATTCAGCCAGGTCTTCTTTCCTTTTGTGTGCATGTGAATTATGATGAGCTAAAGGGAATGGTGGGAAAAATTACAGATAGAAGATCTGGATTTTCTGCACAGCATTTCCTACAGAAATGTAGGAAATGGAGCCAGCTAGTAGAGGTATCATCACTTACAACAGTTTTCACACTTGCTTCAAGGAGAGAGTCTCCTGTGGTTGGCTGATGACTTGCACAGGCATGTTTTTGCTTATGTTCAGAGTGAAAAAGCTAATTGTTTCTGTTCTGCTTCCCTTTGCAGTGAGTTTGTATCATGGCTCACAGAGATTGGAGAGATAAGCAAACCAGAGGAAGGAGTCAACTTGGGACAGGCACTGTTGGAAAATGGAATTATTCATCATGGTGAGTGATCCATGCCATAAAGAGATGTTAGGTTTTGGTAATGTCAGGGAAATGAGGGTGGAAAACTGACTGCAGGTGGTCACATGATGTTCAAATACTACCTTGCAGGTGCTTGATTTCCCTGCAACTTCTTTGTTTCGAACTATATCAGGTGTATTCCTTGTACTTCGGTGTTTTGATCGCTGAATACAGGTTTCCTTATGACACATGAGCAGTACTGAGGGTAGTCGAGCAGTGCCCTTTCAGAATGGGGCACAGGTACCAACAGAGTGAGGGGTTCCACACGATGGGTCATTCTTTCTAATGAGACTGCTTGTCATAGAGATGATGGAGGGTTTGTTGTGGGATTTGTTCTTTCCAGCTCATTTGCCAAGAATGTCTCTCTTTAAAGTAGTGATGCACCGTATTTCTTCATCACTCCCATCAGACGACCTTGAAGTGCTGTGATGAGGGGTATTTCAGAAGAGCAGGATAGTGCATATGAAACTGCTGAATGACCAAAGTAGCACAAGATGCTTGTGTGAAAATATTCTGTGCTATTCGTGTTTCTACTAAAATAAGGTCTTCCTCCAGATTGCGTCCTTTAAATCCAGATTTGTCCTTCTGTTTCCTATTATTTTCATGTTACATTACGCAGAGAGAGGAGCACAGTTATATTGTAGTTAAACAGAAAATGGCCCAATTATGACTTTCAGGTGAGTTTAGCTGCAGAATGCACATCAGAGGAATAAAGTATATAGGTCTTAAGTCACCAGTGATCTACATTTCCATACAATCTCTTGGAAACCAATTTAAATAGGGAAGCCATTTAATTAGGCTAGTCTTGCTTTAATCTCTTGATAACTCAGCTCCACAAACTTGTCTTTCAGGTGACAATAACACTGTTCAGAAATTATGTCTGTTACCTTCTTTTAATTAACACGTAACAAAATCTAATACAGGCAGTACTATAATCCTTCCTGCACATATACTTCCAGGTGCCAAGGTACCAAGACATACTTTCAGGCACTTTCCAGGTACCAAGACATGCTTTCAGGCACTTTCCAGGTACCAAGACATGCTTTCAGGCACATTCAGACTTTGAAGGGCTTTGAGCATGAGCTCAAACGCGCTGAATACTTTTGAGTACTTGGTCCTAACTGGCTTTGCAGAAATGACTGACTCTAATGTGTAGGGATCCCCCTTTGGATGAGGAATGCTCTTTTGTGCTCACACCCTTTCTTGCTTATGTTCTGAATGTGTCCACTTGCACTATTGGTGCAAAAAGCTCTCCTGAGACTTGTTATTTCATGATTCATATTGTTGCCTTGCCATAACTTCATACTTTGACACTTTCAGCAGTGTCCTTTCCCTCTAAATACAAATTTACAGCTCAAAGAAAGTTCTGCTGTTCCATCTACTGCTCCCCTCATTCAAATGCCCCGAGTAAGATTCATCTGGTTTGGTTGCACCATAATGAAGCTCTTACTCCTATTCTACCTTAGGCAATATCTTTTATCTTTTGTTTTCACTTGGCATAACATTACTGTCAGGTGAAAAGTGCTGATTTCTCAGCCTGCCTGAGAAGCAGGGCCAAAGATGATTGCTAAAGGCTGAGCTCTGTGTGTTTTATCACTCATTTTCCTCTGTATCTCTTTGAATTCTGGCTATTTTATCTGAGACTGCTGATGTGGAAGTTCTGGTGCCTGTCACAGAGAGCAGAAGTGATCAGAACCTGATCTCCTGTGTGCCTGACACAGACGCTTTTGCAGACTTGATTCTCAATTGGATTTATAAGTACAAAATCCAAAGCATGCACACTCTCAACGAAGTCAATTGCTTAAACAGCTGAGAGATTCCACTGTATCAGTATTGCACTGTATCAAGCCTATCAGTATATAATATTACTCAATAAGATTTTAACTGCCCTACTGTGGAAAGGCTATTCTGGGTGAAAAAGCAGTCTCTCAAAAATGGGAGTCAATTTTTACAAGGAACTGGCTAGCAAATACAAGAACCATGGTAGAAGAATACCTAACAGCTGTAGTTCCTCCCACTGGTATGGTTCTGCTTTTGAAGTGGCAGAACTTTGGGCAACTGCAAAAATTACTTTAGTGCTGTGATAGGTGCTGTAGGAATTTGCAGGCACTTTGTTCAAAACTTACGGAAAAATTCAGACAGCCCAAATGACTTTCACAAGGACTTTTTTCAAAGCCTTAAATAAATTAAATCTGATGTACAAGGAAGAAATTTCTGTTTAATTGGAACTGGAATATTTTAGAAAACTGTGTTTGTTGGTGGAGCTGTTCAGAAGTGCACATAAGCATATATATTCACAATAAGGGGAAATTTGAAGAGCTGAGACCTCTCTTCAGGAAATGATAGACACCAGCAAATACTTAGTTGTAGACATGCCAGCTAGCCTATGAAGAACATGGCAGGGGAGAAAAGACTAATTTTAACTCTCATACTGGTGTTTTAGTTTCAGATAAGCACCAGTTTAAGAATGAGCAGGTGATGTACAGATTTCGTTACGATGATGGAACGTACAAGCCAAGAAGTGAGTTGGAAGACATCATGTCCAAGGTTTGTATTATCATTCTTAGTTGGATTTGCATCACAAGTTTGCTCTACCACTGAATGTTGTGGACATGTTGTTTGTCTTTACTGTACTAAGCTATCCATCCTCATGCCATAGGAGACACTCGCTCCAGGGAGAGGAAGCAGAGCTTAGCAGTAAATATTGATACAGTAGTGACTGGTCCCAAGACTGCTGACTACAATCCTAATATAGTAACAAAAGGTATTAAGAGAAAACAGTAGGCCATAATACATGTCTGCTGAATATCTGGGCATTGTGGTTCAGGGAGATAGAAGGGATCAGTATTTAACTGCCATTCCTGATAATTGTATGTTAAAGGATTTGTGTTGATCACACATCTGCCCATATACCTTTTAATAAATTGGATTTCTTCTTACAGACATCAGTTCATGGGTTAATTGTGAGGAAGGATAAATGGAAAAAATGTTGGAATGAGGTGATTTGAGATAAAAGAATAGGTTTTTCAGCTTCTGGAGTCAGTGAAAGAAGCATGAATGTTTGACAGGATAAGGGAACTGTTTTGAAGAAGTTAATCGATTGATAATTTCAGCTGAGTAGAGACATCAGTGTCCAGTTTTTGCTATCTTTAGCTAGTCAGGGTTTCTTTGAAAAGGCAAAAACTGATAATAACCATGCATCTTTCCTTCTTCAGGGTGTGAGGCTCTACTGCCGACTACACTGCCTATATACTCCAGTGGTAAAGTAAGTTCACCTCCATGGTCCCCGTGTATATATTATCTGGCTTTGTTAAGAGGATGATGACAGGTTACTGTTGAAATCTTTCTTTTTAGTTCTTACGAACAATACTTTTCTGCATTTTCTTGCCTCTTTTACTACCCTTCCATCTCCACAGTTTAGATCTGTAGTCTACTTCTGCTGGAGGATGTTGGAACTGGGTTCTGGGAGAATGAAAGGCTAGTGTTACAGTCTTCCTGACATTTGCTTCCTCTGTCAGTTCATCAGAGCTGTTAGCATCACACAAGTTTACCTGTTTACTGTGGCAGTTTCTGAGGGTTCAAGTGGGTGTGATTAATAAGTGACTATTGATTCAGGGCAGATTGTGCAGTGTGATTATAGCTGCTGTATTGTTTGGGTTGTAGAAAATGTAAACAGATGCTAAAGTGATGTAAACAGATTCCAGTGTGATGCTAGGATTCTTTCATTCAAAGCACCCTAAACAAACAAAAACCAGTCTGAAGTAGAATAAAACCTGAGGCTGTAATTTGAAAAGAACTTGAAATTTTTGAGTAAAATCTTCACAACTTAGCTCTGTATAAATAAATGCTAAAGAACTGAGATAATCTGCAAGCCCTAGTTAACTTTCTTCCCAGACCCCAGGAGATGATTTTCAGATGTTGCCTTACTGTGACATCAGATGAACATTTCTGGCCTATAATGGAAATCACTCTGAGCCATGTAGGTGTTCTTTTGAGGTGTGTATGATTGAAAATTAGGCATTTTCAGTTAGAAGGATTCATTTTTACATACGAAAAACTGACCAGGAATTAAAAAACCTCTGGTGCGCATGGCTGGAGTTCCAAATTCAACTAAACTGACCTTTTGCCCCTGAGTTATACAACAGATGTTTCACGGAGAGATGTCATTGTCATGCTAAAAAAAGGGGCAAAGATAGTTACAGTTCATCCGTCATAAATTTGTCTAATTAGGTCTGGGGTTTTTTTTTCCTCAGAACAGCCATTCTACAATAGATTTCAGTTAGCCTAAGGGGTGTGGAGAGAGCAGGAAAGGTGCTGCATCCCTTAGTAGGCAAAGTGGTTATGTATATGCATGTGTGTATTTGCACATACATTTCACCCCTTAAGGTGGTAATTCACATGCAGAGTAGGAGTAATCCTAAGGGAAGCTGAAAAAATGTCACTGACCTCAGGGTACCCACGAACTGCAAGGGATGTAGTCTTATGCTTTAGGGAATCAGCAAGGACAAAATAACTACCATGGGCCTGTCTTGTGGTGTTGTATCAGTGTGCTGTCTTTGTAATTGAATCCCATCTGGACAATCTTCTAAAACCAGGATTAATCTGTGTGAGTGACAGCATAAATCTGAACTGTGTATGACCACTGAAAAATAGGAGGCGCTCACAAGTTTTAGGATCCTTTGGGATTGACTTAATGTTCTCAGTATGTTCAGGCTCTTCCCCCTGCCATTGTCTTTCCTATTCACTCTTCCTTTTATCTCCATGGTAGAAAACAGAATCTTCTAGGCTGTCATCCTTTCATGTCTTCTTACCATGTGTTTTTGCCTCTGAGAAGCCTAATCCTAGCCTAAGTAAGCCTTTTAGCCAAGTTAGGTGTGTAAAGCCTGTTACTTTTTGCTGGGCCTGTGGACCACTGCTTTATCTGGCATCTTCAGACTGCTGATCCCTGCGGTCATGCTAGCAAGGTTGATGAGGCCTACCTCTCTGGTGCAACCTTCCTTCTAGAAAATTGGCAGAACTGCTTGCAGTAGCAGGTGCACATGCCAAGAGGATCTGGAGGAATCATAAGGTTCAAAATTCAATGATTTTGTTCACAGCCTTGGAATGTTATTTTGCTTAGTTGTCAGCCCTGGAAACCTGGGAGTTTCCATTTAGCATTTGCCTTTTTAGTTTTCTTCAGTAAAGTCTGACACTGATGTACTTTGTGGGTAAGATGATATTCTCTGCCAGAAACGAAGCATGCAAGTCTGGGGGATGATACACAAAAAGTAAAGCATTTTGAAAACTGTTAGGTGAAAAGAAGGTTCTGAATATGTCTCTGGTCTACTTAGTTGTGAGAGTGGGGGAGCTTGCTCACACTTACACATGTGATGGACAACCCTTCAGTGTGTAGATGGGGTAGAGCCGTTGAAGAACATCATATTCCTCTAGTTTTTGTGAGGCAACAAGGTTCTGCCAAGATTTCAGTGGTTCCCACATCTTTATTTGACTATTCACCTGCAGCTCATGGTTCTAGATAACATTCCATGATTCATTCTTGTTCAGGCTAGATTGAAATGGAGGGGAAAAGTCAGTGAACTAATGTTGAAATATTCACCCTGACAAGCATTTAACTGAAAGCAGCAAAAGACTGGGCCGTGGACCAAGATCCTGATGCCAGCTTATTCAAAACTCTAGCTCGATGTCAGCATCTGTATTAAAATGTTGGGAGTTGCTTCTCACAATCTGGAAACCCCTACTCATTAGTACTCAATATTTTAATGCTTTGCTTTATTATTCTGACATTTCAAAAGCATATTTTCTCAAGATAAGAGTGTGAGAGGGAAAAACTGCCCAGAAAACTCCCACAGTTTTGTGCTGGGTTTAGCACATTACTGGAAGACAAGTTGAAAAATATGTGTAAGCACTATGAGGAAAGCTTTTGTTCTGGGGACACATATTTCTGGAAATGCTGTCATGGCTTTTTTATTTTTTTTTTTTTCCTCCCAACTTCTGAAAGTCCTGCTTCCCTTTCTAATTTATCACACCCTGCATTCTGCAAACAAACAGGCATTTCTGCTGCATTTATTTACAAAAACCAGTCACAACATATTTGTATCTGTAGATGATTAGTAAAAGAAAAACATGAGTGGGATGAATTTTAGATGGTGCTTTGATTCTAGATTTTTAGTAAAAAAGAAAATATCAGTGTGTGGTGATAATAAGTGAGATTGATTTGACAGAACGGGAGAATCAAGTCTTCTCTTGAGCTGCCTTATAGATACATCCGGACTGTAGAAGCAGTCACAGTGGCTGTGGAAGTTTCCCTCTACAGTCATGCCAGTGGACCTCAAGCTTGAAATAGAAGGAAAACCTCCAAGGGTGAGAGAGGAATTAATTCTTCGTAGCCATTCAGCATTTGGCCTCTCTGCTGAGGCTCTGGACAAGAGGGAGCCAATTAATGCAAATTAATTGTGGTAATGGCTTTTGTGATGTGGAACTAGGAACTGGATCAAGACCACCAAACTTATTTCACACGGGCCAGTAAACAGCCTTAAAATGGAAAGAGCTTTTCATTCTCTCATGAGCTGGATTAAATCCAGTGACCTGGAGGTGAAAGGTGTTAGAGCTCAGTGTTCTGAGCCACATAGTCCTCTTATATTTGTATCAAAATTGTTTAGAACTATTTTATGAAAGACTAAAAACATCAATTATCTCCATGGCTTTGAGCAGTGGAAGAAAACTCCTAAATGGAGCAAGTTACAGTAGTGTTTCTTTTCCTTATTTCAGCAACAGTGCTGTTCTCTGCCAGGGCTGTGTATGAGATGGTGCAAGTTGTGTTACAAGACCTGAATACAACACTTCTTTTTAATTTACAGTGGCTGAAATTATCTAGTGCCATAAAAGAACACTGTGTACTCTATTTGTATCTGGCTGCTCTGTGATATTTTGCTAAAGGAAGTAAAGGTGCAGAGAATCAGGAAAATCTCTCCTGACAGAGAAGGCTAAAAGGTGCTTACTTCAGTACAGGAGTAGAGAGGGAGTATGTAGGGTCACTGTCTGTGAATGCATTGATGGATAAAGACCAGAGAAAAATGATTTAAGCTTATAGATGGGGCTGGCACTGAGCCAGTAAATGAAAACTGGACATGAATGGATGTAGGATGGAAACTAGAAGATGGCTTCCAGTCAGAAGATTCTGATTTTCAACAGGTGTTCTAACCTGAGTTAAAGAAGAAGCTCAGAACATCTGTAAAAAGAATGTCCTGGTTGCCTCTGGCAGGAATAGGAGCTCCCTGAAGATGACTTGAAAAAACATCTAGAAAAATTTGAAAAAAGACTGCTCTGTATTGATCAGAAATGTCTTCCTAATTCAAGTTGTTAGAAAAGTTTAAAAACTAGTCCTTTCTTCTAGAACAAAAGAATATCTGCTTCCTATTCTTTCTTATTTATTTGGGTCTCGGAGTCTCTTTTTTTTCCATCTATAATTCTTCTTTCCTCAACTTCATAATAGTAGGTCACAGTAGTATATGTAGGTTTAGAGTGTAAAAGAAATGTTTACCTTTTTGTCCTGATTTGCCCTGAATTTTCTTTCTTAACTAGAGACCGTGACTACCATCTGAAGACCTACAAATCAGTAATCCCTGCAAGTAAACTAGTGGATTGGCTTATTGCACAGGTAAGAAAATGTTGAGATACTGCTGTCTTTGACAAGTAGCTTAATTTTTCAGTTCATTTTAAAAGTAAATAAAACACATTTATCTAGAGAATGTAATTAAACATACTGTGGTTCTTTAATATTAAAATCTTATGCTTTCTGTTACTGTTCATTTGGTGCAAGTGTATTATTTGGCAGCATAAAGAGGAAGAAAGTAATTTGTTAGCTTTAGGAGTGGTGAACTGGCTGTTCTCTGGGATCTCTTTACTTTCTTGTGATTTCCTGAAGACATGTAGAGCAATGATGATCTCATTTAATCTTGTGTAGGTGTGGCACAGTTATTGAAAAAGTAATCTGGAGTTTTACACCAACAACTACACCATTGTCTTTAGAAATTGTAGTTGCCCCACATTGTCCTTGTAGTTGCAGAGAAGAGCCTATAGTTTCAGAATAGAAAAAATTAGCTTTGGTAGCCTAAAGCAGTCTAAAGGGAGTGTGACATGTTGCTCGCCATCATAGAGTGAAACGCACGTCCTGGTTTTGTCTTAAATGATGGTCTGATTCACAGTCCTATTAAGACTTATACTGCCAAAATGACAGAGGGAGGCTAGTTTTAATGAGAATCAGACCTCTGACAACCAGGATATTGTCTTTCAGAAATGTTTCCTGCAATTGCATTTGACATCCTCCCACATTAATGAGATTGATATGATTTAAGGTTGTTCTGTGCCAAATAATTGAATGAGAATGGAGTAGTCAATTGTTTTCCTGTTAAGAGCATAGAGGGAGAGCAAAGATATTAGTACTGAGGTTGTCTTATCAGTTACGTGTGGTTTAATGGGATCTTATTCATGGAAAGCTGAGGGGGAAAAAAAAGTCTGGTTTGGCCAAAGAAGAGAGATGTAATCAGGTTAATCTGGTGAACATAATAGTTAATCACAGAGCTGTAGGCAGTAGAAAGACTCAGATAGCAAGGTAAAACATCAGCTCTTGGTCCTTCCCCATTTTTCTTCATTTTGGTAGGTTGATCTGACTGTTAATTATCCTGTTTACAGAACTTCACATTAAGATTGAACCAGGATATACTAAACCCAGATACAGAGATATAGAAGACTGTAATTTATATTGTGTATATATGTGCATACGTACATGTATACAGGTAGGAAGATGAGGGGAATTTCTTCTGTGCTCAGTTAAAGAGGAGCATTGTTAAACATTTAAATCGCTGTCTATGGCTTGGATGGATTCCTGTCTATGTGGTTAAATCCATCTTTGCACATAGATCTTGACAAATAGTAATTTTCATGGGGGTTCACTTGGAATTTTCATACTAGGTTAAACTATTTTCTAAGAACCATTCATATTTTGGCCATATTTGGAAACAGCAGATTTTAGTGGGAGCTAATCAATACTCATTTTTGAAGAATAGTGGATTTATTTAACTGATCAAATATCTACTTTTCAGTTTAACTTAAGACGCCTTTTCTTGAAAATCTTGGGGATGGTGTCTGGTCTGATAACTACCTGTTACACAAAAATGGTGGGATATATTTATTTCTGTTTCTGACCATCAATCTGCATCATTACTTTGGTTTACAAGTGATGCATAAAAAACAAGGACTATTGTTTCTGTTAGGTTTAGGGGCATAAGGGTGACTGTCTTGAAGGACAGTCTCTCATTTCTGTTTGCAATTTAGACTAATGCCAGTGGGAGCCCTCCCTAATGAGAAAGCTGGTTTTCATTTTCTTGACCTTTACAAATACTCTTAAAACTGAACAGAGCGACTGAACAGAGCAAGAAAGAACTTTTTTTCTAATTGTAGAAACAGTCGCAGCTGTGTTTTGTACCCTGATCCTCCTACCTGGAAGTGGTTGGCTATTATACTTCTGGCAAGAGATACGTTGGGTCCTCAACGAGTCTGCATCTTGCGTGTGTTTGAACAGTTGTGTTCAAATGTGATATATGTGATTATCCCCTATGCATTGTCTGCACGCAGAGTCGGGCTGGAGAGGTATTAAGGGCTCTGTTATTAGATGTGCAGTGCATTTGTGGCTCGGTAGCCATCAGGGGTCTGCAGGAGCTGAGCATCTCTTGACTGTCAGGTTTATTAGTAAGTGCCCTGTGATATGCTAGCACAGATTATTCACTAAGAGGGGGTTTTTGCATGTGAGAGAGTCAAGGGATTTCCTAATGACTTGGGAGATGTGATGCTGAATTTGCTTGATGCCTTTTAATTGTTTATAGCTCTTCACAATAGCTGGATCCTGCTGCAGTTACCCCCATAGTATGTCTTAGGCAAATTGTGCATGAGACACTAAAATAAAGCATTAAGCATGATGGTGAAGAGAAGCACGTAGGAGCATCAGTGCTGATTGTAGATGAAAGTGTTTATGCCTCTTCTAGAAGCACGAAGACAAATCTTGGAAAACAAAATCCTGTATTAGAGTTTTCTGTAGGCATTACTTTAGTGACCCTTTGAATGTAGCAGAGAAATGGTTTCAGCAGTCAGAGCCTGAAAGGGGAAATATCTGATCTATGTCCATGAATTTAGACAGAAATTGTCTGTGAATTAGATTACGGTCCCTATGTATATTTAGAGGCAATTCTTGAAGGGAAGGGGCTCGTTCATTTGTAGGTCTCAAAACAGTCAGCCATGGACCATGATTACACATCATATGGTTTACACATCATATCATTCCCAGAACTAGAGAGCAATAATAGTAATTGTAATGGTGGCAGTAGTAACAGTAAACATAATAGTGTGCTCGGGGCATGATTCTTCACTATGGTACTGACTGCAAACAGTTTCTATAATTCTGCTGACTCAAATTCAGTGATTGTCCTTGAATAAACCTAAATTATCTTGTCGAAACTAGTGAGTCTCGTTTCACATCCAACTTCTGTCTGAAAACGTTATGAGGCACGCTTGCTGTCAGGCTTGTTGATTGTAAGTGGTTCTTTTTTCTTGAGGTTTTTTGTTACTGCTTTCATTGTATTTGGAAAAATTGCTATGTAACATTTAGAAATACTTACAAGTGAGCTGAAATGATCTATTTAACATTATATATTATAATTACAGAATGCTGTTTTGAGGGGGAATATTTTGAGGCCAGGTTAACATCAGCAGGAGTAGCCAAGTCTGGTTTAGAGCCTTCCTACGGAAAGATTTTATTGTCTAAAGCAAAAGTAGATTACTAAAGGTTAAGAGAATGACGATGGAAGGCATTTCTCCTCCGGTTTATTTACAGTTGAAAGAAGAAATTAGGTTTTTAAGTCTCGGGTTCTGTAAAATAAACTACTCATTTATCCCATAAAGTAACACAAAGTGAGTGTTGAGAATTTGTTGCATGACAGGATGTTGAAGATGTGGAAAGACTTACAATGACTTGAAATTAGTTTATAGTAAAAGTTAAATTTAAGGTTTATTAAAGCCCTTTTCTTGGCATTCCTTGTGTGATTACATAATCATGCAGTTCCTCCAGAACTGCCTTGGTCTTTTTCCTACCAAGACAACAGTATTTAGTTCTTAATTTGTAAATGCCATGCCCTTTTTTTTTTTTTCCTCTTCAACAAGAGCCAGCAGTGCCACTGATTGGCAAGAGCTGATCCTGTTTTATCCTGTATTTAAATAGCATCTTTACACCATAGTGATGTTCTTTGCCACTATTTGCCTGGCAAATAGCTACTGCTCTCCTCAGTAGAACTTGAAGTAGGACTTATGTTCCGCTGACAAGATCAGAGGGCTTTTGGTCTGCAAGCTGGTTTGCTTTAAACAGTCAGTACCCTACTGTGCAGTTGCTGCTAGAGCTTTGGGATATCTAGTTCTCCAGATGGATGGGGAAAAAAGAAGGTCTGTTTGTAAAGTCTCCACTTGTGGCTGTAAATTAGCAGATATATAGAGAAAACCAGGCATTTCTTGTATTAACTGGATTGTAGATGCAAAACAATGCTGCCATTTCAGGTAAATTTGTAAATTTTCAAGTCACCTTTGGTACCTGGTTTGAAATACTGTACTCGAGGCTTCAGGTAGTGAGAAACTGAATCCTTTGTTGGTAGGTTGCTGGAATGGCACTGTGGTTTTAACCAGTCTCGCCTTTAGAGTTCACATACACTGGGTTTTCTTAGGTTTTTCTCCTTTTGGTTGAATATAGATAAGATCTCTCAACTCCACTCTCTAAGAATGAGTTTTATTATCTGCAGGTAATGGGTCCTGAAGTCCAACACTATGATTGTAAATTAAAAGTCTTTACCTTGAGATAATATGATGTCCCTTTGTGGGTTCAACAGCTACTTTCCAGAATCCTGGTCTTTGTCCTCCTAGTTCCTGTAGGAGGGCAAGAGATGCTATATGTAAGAACGAATGGGATTTGGGCACCGGGGTAGCTATTTTAATTTTTTGCTATTGTTCCCTACAAAGAGCATCCTGCTAATTTCTGAGCCACAAGCTATGTGGTGGGGAAGGGGAATAATTTAGCTTAGAAAGTTGTCTGAGATGTAACATTTATCCTCTTGTTTCTAGGGAGACTGTCAGACTCGGGAGGAAGCTGTCGCACTGGGTGTTGGACTCTGCAATAACGGCTTCATGCATCATGGTAATGCATCAATATTACTTCCCACAGCCAATTAAAGGAGCTCTTACTTCAGCCAGATTAGCTGACTCTGAAAATACCTTCGCGCATCCCTTTGCTCTGTAGGGTTTCCTTTAACTTTCTTTTTTGTTTCTCTCTTTCTTTCTCTGTGTAATTGCATGTATGTATTTCATATATGTTGTTTCCAGTCCTGGAGAAAAGTGAATTTAAGGATGAATCCTTGTATTTCCGCTTTTATGCTGATGAGGAGATGGAAGGCACCAGTTCCAAGAGCAAACAATTACGTAATGACTTCAAACTCGTGGAAAACATCAAACTTCTGGTAAGAAATATGTTAATATAAACCTTTAAATGTCTGTGAAACTGATACTGTTTTATACTAGAGGAGAATTGAAATGAGGAATAGCCCCTGTAGCTAGGTTTTTCTTCACTGCATAGATACTAATTCTTGAGCTACTTTGCTGTAGAACTCTGACTTTTCTATCTGACAGATCACATAGCTTTTTCCTAGTATCAAGGGACATCTGCAAGTTGCACGACTCCTCTAGCATGTGGCCATCCTGCACTACGTGGGAGCTTTGGATTCACAGCTCACATGCATATGTGCAAATGCAAGTAATGCCTCTTTCTGATAGCTCTCAAGCAAAGAGGAGACTCAGATATGACTGATTCATCCAGTTCACAGCCCAACCCCTTTCTTTCTATTCCCACGAAGCCCTTGAGAGAGTCTGGAAGTCAGCTGGGAGCTAGAGATATTGTCTTAGCAGTCTTCATTTATTTCTTGAGTTTGCTGAGCAGGCACCACAGTGTTGGTGTGGTGGAGGAGAAAGTAACGGGCACTGTCATCTTGGGAGAGGTCTGCCATCAAGTTTAGACAGTTTAAGTTTAAACACCATTGTATGTGAGGTACGTGCAGATGCAAGTTAAAAGACTGATAAGGACGCAGATATTTCAGGGCATCATTGTCTAAGTGATAGGAACATGCCCTGCATTACTGGATCAAGTATCACCTTTACTTGTTATGGAAACCGTTTTCCAAAAAAATACTGTTCTTTATGTTCATGCTTTTGGAACATTACTGTTATCTCCAGATTCCTACCTCACTAAATGCCATCGCAATCCTGGGATTATTCTAACTCTGTTTGGATTTGGTAGTTGGATTGATGCAAACTCTTTGTTCCGAGAACCTTGTTTACTGCCAGTGGCTCCAGGCCCAACTTTTTCTCTCTCTGAACACTGGCAGAATGGAGGAGCAGAAGAAAAACTTGGGTCAGAAGCTACAAAAGCAGAATTGTTGGAAAAGTTCCATAGGCCCATTATATGGGAAATTTTTTCCTGCGGTTCACACAAACGTCACTGTCTCACTGTTGTCTTGTCTCCCAGGAGACCAATCTGTGTTTATCTGTATGGCCAGAAGTAGTATCTTAAGCACCATGGTCCCTTAAAATTATTCCTCTATGCATCCCATGCCAGAGACTGGAGTGTCAGGTTAATATGATTACCCTCATGGTGAGTTGCTGGATAAAGGGAAGCAGTGGTACACTGTGGGTTTTTTCACTTGTGATTTGGAAAGCATTCAGAGATTGGTTTTGTGTCTGTTGGTGGGAACTGCCATTGTTCAAGTATTTTTAATTTTCCATCTTATCAACACAGGAAAGTTTGAGGAAACAGATTCCACTTCTTTCTGCCAGTTGAAGGTACTTCTGTTAAAATGGCAAAGCTCTCAACAGTAGTATGTTAGCTGTGAAATGAGGGATTTGAAGTTCTTTCATTCTGTTTTATGTTAATGTAATAATCGTTTATTAGTGTTCACTAAAGAGTCAGGACAAACAAGCAAACCTTGCACATGGACCATTCACTAGTGAGTAATCGTAAACCCTAATTGGTCCTTCCACTCACTCCATAATTTGGTAACTGAAATATTTGCAACAGGAACAATTTTAATATTACTGTTACTGTAGTTCTCAAGTGCATCACTCAGCCTCTGAGTACAGCCCCACCTCCAGAAGTAAGGAATCTGAAATGGACAGCATATCCTGAACAAGAAATTCCCTACTTAGAGGGCACAGATTTTTGTCAAATGAGTAGCAGTCATGGTGAAGTTAAGAGTTTCCCCTCATCTGCACAAATAAATTATCAGTCCCTGAATGTTTGTGAAGAAGATCCCACAAGTAGCAGTACCGTAAACACATTACACTTACCCACAAAAAAGTTTGTGCCTGACTTCTCTGCTATTCTGTGTTTAGCAGTTACGAGCAGCTGGAATCCTGAGGCTTTGCTGCTGTCTGTGGAACGTCAGCTCTTGCTGGCCTACACTCATGATAGGGCATTGATCCTTGCCATCCCCCGATCCCACTGTAGGAAATTTAATGGAATATCCTCAGCACTGGCTTTTGAAACATTCTTTTCTACTGCCATGAAACCCTAGCTGTGTAATGGACAGCTTCCCCCACCCCCTTCATCTACGTTTGCTCAATCACAGGAGAGCTTGCCCTTAAAAACAGAAAACAACAGAAGCTTTGGCAAACATGTCATTAGAAATGCCAAGGAACAAAGTGCTTTCAGTTTGAAAAATTCACTTCAAACAAAATTTAATACTCATTTATTTGTGCAATTGTTTCTCATTGAAGGACATAAATCTTGACAAACTGAAAAAATATACAACATTCTTTCCATAGTTGAAGAGAATTTGGATTTTGGATTGACTCCAGGCATTGTGACTTGGTTACTGCAGTGTGCTGCTAACTTGTGATCAGCACCCCTGCTTGTTAGCCCAAGCCAACACCACCACAAATCGAAGCCAGTAGCTTGGAGCTGATTATCAGATGAGGACAGTTGCCTGTAGAGATGGGCCTCCATCAAAGCTGCTGAAGAGGTTTAGTGCACACGCAGTGCTAGAGTCCCCAGAAGACTCTGGTGTATCACTTACTTGATGTCAAAAGTAAAGCACTTCCGCTGATTTCTAAAGATAATGCCCAAGTACGTTATGTGTGGCATTATCAATAAAGTTGTGATGGATTGGACATCTGCACTGTACATCTAAACCTCATCAGCATTCTAGACCTGTGATATCTCCTATGTTCCTCCAGGGTATCCCATGTTTCTCACTGTCAGCAGTGTGTTGCAGTAGTGAGAGAGTAGTGGCTGTGTCCCGCTGCAGTTCAGAGCCAGGACTGTGCTGTGTCTTGGTGCTCAGCTCACACAGGGGCCTGAGTGCAGTAGCGTGTTTGATGAAAGCCAGTGGTTTGAGAACAGAAGTCAGGGCTACCTGGGTTTTAATTTAACTTCTCACACGTGTGGCCTGAGCAAGACCTTAAGTCATTTCATACCTCAGTTTACCATCTGAAAATTAGGATGCTATATCTCATCTATCCTCAGGGCTTTGCTACTGCTGTTAATCTAGAATCAGCTTTGAGAATGAAAGTGTCCTTATAATTCAGCACTTCAGATGCCAAGTTTTTAGATAACGGGTAGTATTATCATGTCTGCTCCATTTTAAACCAGCTAATCCAATAAACATAGCATCCACCTTAAAAATCTTACAAAGCTATAGAACACATCTTCTAATTATGAATAAACAATAGTAATTTGTATTACTCAAAGCTATACTTGATCCTTAATAAAAATCTCGTTCATCTTTAATCATTCCAGGAGAATTATTTTTCTGTGTTGTGCTAATATAAAATGACCTAATTCTGCAAAATTTCAGTAGAGAGAGAGCAAAACAGAGACTTCCCTTTGTTCTTCATTATACTAGTGTAGCACAGTCTATTGTAGCTTGAAAATGCAAATCATTGATTTAAAATGCCCCTGGGAAGGGAGCCACTAATAAAAGCCCATCCTGTAGGGATTTCTGATCTCCCAAGGAGACAGGCTGGCAAGTCAGTAACAAGAGCCATCCATCATCCAGGTGTATGTGGCCAGATAAGGGCTTTGAGTCGGTTTGGGTACTAAAAATTACAGTGAACTCTGAAGTGAAAAACATCCTTTAAGCTGTAAATCTTTCACTGTTTAGAAGGAACAGTTCAGTTTTAGTGCTTAATTTTAATGCTCAAAAGCTCACGACCCAGAAGAAACTTTGACTTATTTTGTACATATTAAGCCTGTTTTGCCTATGTGGCAAAACATCTTTAAAGAGAATAGCGATAGGGCTGGCCAAGATCCTGGAGCTTCTCATTGGAAAGAAATCTTGTCTTTTCAAATTCTGTTTTGGTGCCCCAGAGCTTTCTGCTTTTGAAAGGCTGGAGTGTCTGGAACAACCTGAGAGATGGGGTGGCAGGAAAATAGGTCTCTTCAAATGAATGCTGCTGAGGCCTTCAGCAACCTCCTCAATTCTGTGAAGTGTTCAGACTTGACGGTATCTGATAAGTCACTGCTCCTTAAGAAATTCTCAACCAAGTCAGACTCTTCAGGTGTATCCAACAGGGAAGAGTTTATGCTGGAGAGCACTAGGGAAGGCTGTGGGAGAAGGATGTGCATCCTAGACCCTAGTTTAGGGAATGGTGGTTGATCTGCCTGTGCTGCCTCTTCTGCTGATGATGACCCCAGGAGTTTAGGCTGAGAGTTCCTGCTTCTGCATGAGCAGCAGGAGCAGCTTGGGAAGGCTGCAAGAGTGAAATGGGTGCAGTTCCTTACCATCCTCCATTGGGGGATCTTAGTGCCCAGGCCAAGGCCCTCCGCGTGTCTGCAGTTTGAGGGTCAGCAGGTGGGGTGGGTACACCAGACACTGTACCCTGTGCATTAAAGTCGTGCTCTCGTGACATTAGCATGATGGAAGCTACGCCATAGCTGAGCATTAGGCTGCTCACATCTCCGTCATCTTCATTCCTCTGGAAATCTGTCAAATCTCCCTTCACAGTCACTGAGCATCCCCATGCCACAAGCATTTTCCGACTCCATAATCCTTCTCATACAGGAAAGGGGAGAAATGGAGAGGTACCACATCGGCATCATGACCTACATGCCAGAAATACTTCCTGGATGTAACAGATACAGGTGTAATAGACCATTCTTTGCATAGCTTTTCTTCTCCCCCTTTCTGCCCCCCCCATCTCTGCCAAAATTCTCTTTGAATATGTTTCCACTACATATGCCCTCTGGTTTTGATTAAACATGCCTATTTCTCATACAGCCCCATTTTTTAACATCTTCCAAGATTAAACAGCTGCTGCCTTATGTACAAAAACTGATTGTATTTCAGGGGCACAGGAATAATTCTTGTAGATGGCAAGTTAGTTAATTGCTTTGGACTCCTTAGGGATAAACGGTGTTCAGCTGTGGAATTGCAAGGTATTACTACTTTAGAACAAAGAGTGAATCATAACCTTCTCCAGGTATTGCATATTGAATGTTATCCATAGGCTACCATAAGAGAACGTCCCCAGTAGAGGACCGTCAGTAGACAGAATGTGAGATTTCTTTCTTTACTACATGGTGATAAAGTTCCTAATGTTCATAGCCTTGGGGTTTCTTCAAAGTATTTTGGTTCTTTGCTTTCCAACAATACATTTTTGCAGTACTGATGAACAGAGAAAGGTTATTAAAACTGATAGTATGTAAGGATCATCTTGCGTAGTAATGGTAGCTGCACCCAAGAGATGATGTAAGTTTGTGTAACTGCCGGCTTCTGAAGTTTGGTACATCAAAGCCTCCAAATTTTTAAATATCTTTTCACCTATGCTTTCAAAATCCAGCAAAACAAACTGAACAGTCCCTTCAAATGTAAAATGAGAATTGGATGGAAGAGCTATCCTGGAAATTCTCTATTTAATCCCAAATGTGAAGTGACAAAAGTACATATTGTGTTGGGCTGAAACTCATTACACTTGTACCACTAAAAATCCTAACCAGTGATATACCCAATTTTCTAAGCTGTCCTTTTATTAAACATGCATAAACAGCATTCCTTCAGAAAATACTTTGTTAGAAATATCCAAGAATGGCAGACTTAACTTTCAGTCTTTTTACTTTCCTGTCCATCATTTAATCTGAGCATCATCTGATGGGGATTTTTTCCCTGCAGATATATTATGTCATGCATTATTTTTACATGGCTGTATGGCTCCTGCAGAAAAGGATGACTCTGTTTCTTTTAATTTTTTTCTGAGGTGAATTCCTGTAAAAGGACAAAGCTCATAGCCTGATGACATTGACTTCATTACAAAAAGGACACTATTTTAAAATAGTGCAGGAGTCATCAGAATCAAGGAAATAATTCTCAGTAATTTTTTCCCAGTGGCTTGCTAGTTTATAGATAGCTTTACTTTTCCTTTTAACTCAATTCCAGTTTATCAGATAGTTCTTAAATGTGTAGTGTTTGCTCAAATACAGGATGTTTTATCTGGTAGAATTTCGACTTGTCCATTTAACAGTGGCCAGGCTTGCTTTCTTTTTTTCTTTCTTTTTTTTTTTTAATGGGAAGTGAGTTGTTAAGCTTTTTTCATTGCTAATAACCACTAGAAAAGGATGAGTGAAACATGTATTTGCCATGATTGATATGATTTTTAAAAATATATTATAAGACAGGTCTGTGTGATGTAAGTGCAAATAAGAGGAAGCAGATTCTCCGGAGCAAGAACTCCTCTGTCAGCAATGAAAGGTGGAAACTGAGCACGTGATGAGTCTTGTAATTTTTCCCCAACACAAAGCTTCTGTGCCTGTTCTTTAGAAGGACCTTTAGATGTCAGAAATTGTTCTCTCACTGGTCATCCGGAGTTGTAGCCAGCAGAAAAACTATTATGATGTGATTTATGTTTTGTGTGGCATGTAGAAGAAATAGGCCTGAGAGCCCCAATTTATCTGAAAGTGATAGCTAAGAAGGACTCGTGGATTGTTCATTATTGGGTATGTGGGAACTATTTTAAAAATAAATAAATGACTACAGTTCGATCTGTAAGTACATTCACCCATGGAAGATACTGAATATTGATGAATTTCGTAACCTAAAAGTGAATGATGTAATGAATAATGAAGGGCTAGAAGTTAAAACCAAAAGCAGTTTCTAATAGCAGAGCTGATTAAACATTGGAACAGACTCTGAATAGATTCTTCACTTCTTAAACACTGCAGATTATAACTGGGTAACTCTCTGGAAATTGTTCTTTAGTATAGTAAGGGCTCAGTGCAGGAATAACTAGATTGAATTTTATGGCTTAGGTTATGTAGGAGATAGACCAAATGGCCTAACAGTCCCTTTCAGCCTCAAGATCTACAAGTCTGTCAGTCCTGGATTGCAATGAGAAGTCCAGTTTCTCATCTCCATCCTTCAGCTTTTCAGCTAATTCCATATTTATGAAGCATTACCTTGTTTTCTTTTTAAGATTTTACCAGAAGAGGATGATTATGGATTTGACATGGAAGAAAAGAACAAAGCAATCGTGGTGAAGTCAGTTCGACGAGGGTCTTCTGCAGAGGTATGACCTGACATTCATAAATAGTTTTGGTTTGGTACCAAAGAGTATTTCTATGCTTACAAAAGGTACAAAGCTATCCTTTTAAGGTCTGATTAATTTTAAAGGCAACTAATAGAAATTTGAGTTTCTTCTACAACTCCTTTGGTAATAAACTGTGTAAGCTGCGAAGTGTTTTGGCATCTTTGGGTGATTGCTGACTGGTTTTCATAAGTGATAGGGCAGCAGAGGTGTCTCCATGTGATCACAGCATACCTTGGGTTCATTTGCAACTTAAATTTGAGGAAGGAGGGAAAGTAACATTGGTCTGGGATAACAAAAATGTTCAATAAAAAACAGGTTTATTTGAGTGAAAGCTATATTTTTAGATTTGTAATTTTTTCCTTTTAAAATTCTCCTTGGTATTTTTTAAGAGCACTACAGAATATTTGTTTGCTTTCTTTGAGGCACATAGATGGCTTAAATGTCATAGGATCTGAGTATTTATAGAATCATAGGACCATTTAGGGTGGAAAAGACCTTAAAGATCATCAAGTAAAACCGTTAACCTAATACTGCCAAGTCCACCAGTAACCATGTCCCTAAGCACCAGGTCTACCCACCTTTTATATCCTTCCAGGGTTGGTGACTCCACCCCCTTCCTGGGCAGCCCATTCCAATGCCTGACAGCCCTTTCAGGGAAGAAATTTTTCCTAATATCCAATGTAAACCTCCTCTGGTGCAACTTGAGGCCATTTCCTCTTGTCCTATCGCTTCTCTGTCTTGGGAAAAGAGACCAAGCCCCCACCCCTCTCTGCACCCTCCTTTCAGGGAGTTGTAGGGAGCGATAAGGTCTGCCCTGAGCCTCCTCTTCTCCAGGCTTCTCCTCAGCCGCTCCTCACAGGACTTGTGCTGGAGACTCGATACCAGCTTTGCTGCCCTTGACAATCATTTGCTGATCTGTACAAAATCCTTGAGTAGATAACACAATGTGATCCTCCATTTACCGAAATAAAGTATAGAGAGACTGAAAGTCTATTTTTTAGAAGCTATTTAGGTGCCTTTTAGCACTTACGAAAATAGGAGGACTAAATGAGTTGTCTGAGGTTTCACAGTAAATTGTGGCAGCACACAGGCAGTACTTTTAGTTAAAATTCCAGGACCACCCTTACAGACTTTTCTAATGTCCCCATTGATGTGTTGGTCACTGCTTTAGGCTACAGTAACTGCTGGATGACCTGTCCAGTGCAAACAGCTGAAGTGAATGGACTTACTTTAGCATGCTGAGAATGTCAAATGGGAAGGAATTTTGAACTGAAGTTTAATATTAGAATTAAATCGTTTCAGTATTCCTGATTCTCATTTGTTTTATGGTCACTGAAGAAACCAATCCTATGCTCTGCCTCATGCTCAAAATCAACATAGATTGGCCAAAACTTTTATTAATCTAAACCTCTGCTGTAAACCATTGCCTGACAGTTAATCCTTCTGCCCTTTCTTTGGCTGGATGCCTGTGGAATATCCTGGAAATCTGTTGTGTTTTAAGGCAACAGAAGCACACAATTTTCTAAGGAATTTTTTTCTTGATCTTCCAAGACAAACTATCTGTGACCATGACCCATCTTTTCAACTTGATTTTAAAATATTGCTCCAGAAACGAACTAAATCTGCATCTCTCTGAACCGGAGGGCTGTGAGTTCATTCTGGAAAGACCTGAGGTCCAGCCAAAATGCATTTCATTACAGTCTTGGGCTTTTTAATTGTTTTCTGACACTAGGAAGATATCCAGCATGTAGTTCTGTGTGGCTCAGCAGCTGTAGGCCTTTTAGAGACCCTGTGCCCGCTGTCACACTCTAGGGACCAAAATGAAGACATGCAGCTTTGCCTCACAGTGCCCGTCACAGTGCATTGCATTCATCAGGACTGTCAGACTCTAGGCCAGAATAAGATTCCAAGCTCACCAATTAAGTGGGAACAATTCTATTAGTTGCATGACTTTATTCAAGATTAACACATTCTGTTTGAGTTTGAGAGTGTGATTTCTTTTTCCTAGTATACCTGGAAAAAAGTCTGCCATGCACAGGTGGTGACAACACACAGCATTGAACTTCGTGCGTGTGCAAGAAGGGTGTTTGGGGTTTTTATTCAAAATCAAAGTTGCCAAGCATTGTTCTTTCTATTATTAGTGTCTTTTCTTCTTCAGATTTTTTAGGAACTGTTTTGTGAGCTGTTAGGTTTGCCTATGCCAGAAGCAGTTCCCAAACTGTGTTTGTAAGTTGTTGAGAAAGGAATTGCTGGAACATTAAATTCCTGTACTGTGATAGGGTACTTGAACTGCAGTTTGGGAACTCTTTGTCTAACATGTGCGTTCAGCTTCTCAGTTTTGGCCCTTGTGGGCACTACTCATGCACTTTCTCACCTGATCCTGAGTGAGGAGCAGTCCTTGGGCCAGGACTCTCACCTGCGGAAATTGTCCCCCCATGCTCCTGGCAGCAGCTGCCTGTGACTAATGGCACTTGCTCACCTCATCTAGGTGGAGGATTGCAAAAAAGCATGTAGCAGTGGTTGGTTGATGTGGACTGTGGCACATCCCATGCCTATCCTAAGTTCACATGTCTTCAGGAGGACATTTGGAAAGTCAACGACTCCTTAGTGTGTACCTTCTCTTCCTTTCTAAGCCAGCTCACTTGCAGGTTAAGTGTAGCTGGGCTTATTCCCACAGGTTTTAATCCCGGAGCTGGTTTATGAATGATACTCTATCAGAAGGAAGCAACAGTGGAAAAAAACTACCCTTTTGGGAGGTGTGGTTGCTGTCTTACTCTGGACAGCCAACTGACAAGCAGATGTCTGGTGTTTGAACAGAGCGTGTTCAGCAACAGCCAGTTGGCCAATGGCCATGCAGATGGACAGCGAAGAGCAGGCTGCTGGCGTTTGGGAAAAGAGTGGCCCGGATCCAGACAACTGCATTGAGTTGTCATAAGGAGCATCCGTTATTCGGAAGCTCTCTGACACTGCAGGGTCTTTACTCTTAAAGACACATGCTGTCTACTCTTCCTTTGCCTGCTTAGTTATAGCCCAGTAGAGTAGCAGATTTTTATTTGAAAGTTGCCAGGTTGTAGGGTTGAATGCGACTTTGTACCTCTTACCTTCGTGAATTTGCTATGATTGTGTGCGCAGGTAGGTGTCCTGTGTGCACAAGCAATAAGTTAGGAATATAAAGAGGTCATCCACAGGTAGAATGATTGCAGGTATGCCAAGAGTTTAGCTAATTGCACGTACATTAAGTGTGTGAGCTACTTTGAGAAAGTCAGGCTTAAATAATTTAGAATTTAGAAATTTATATAATAATACTTCTTAATAAACTCATCAGTATAAGTAAATGCCAATAGCAGAAAATAATCCATTTAATTATGAACCAAGGTTTGTCAAATTCTATCTTAGGTTAAAATCTCTATTGCTGTTTATCCTTATTACCCATTTTAGAGATTATTTACAAAAAGAGAAAGATGAAAAATGCTATTTTCAGGTACACAAGAGGATGTTGTCAACTGTAGAGAGCTCGAGAATTAAAGCAAGGAGACCACTTTAGTTTTTCCTTTTACTAGCTTTGATTTGAAGAAAAAGTATAGGTTTTTGTAGGTAAACTGATCTCTGACTTTCAGACCACAAAATATATTTAAGAAAAGCCAAGCCATGCATAGATCAGAGCAGGGTTTCCAGGCCTACATACTTTATTAAGTCGCCTGTTAAAAAAATTGTAGCAGAAAAGTACAAAGATATAGCTGTTACAAAGTGAGATACATCTGTGGAGTCCCATATTTATACAGATACTGTATATCTCTGTTGAGATGAAATCTCAAGGTGAAATCTCAGGTGAAATCTCTGTTTTCTGTAAATACAGATAACGTTAAGAGTCACTGACACATGATTTGGTGAACCAATACTGTATATATAATGTTCCGTATGACAGTAATCCTAGGAAAATCCCTAAGTAGGGAACCCTGGAGCCTGAACTTTCAGAGATGCTGCCAATGATCCCAAGTTTTCTGTGCTGTTTGTTTCATTTGCAGATGGCTGGCCTGCAGATGGGAAGAAAAATATATTCCATCAATGAGGACTTAATATTCCTACGTCCTTTTTCAGAAGTGGAAGCCATCTTAAACCAGTCCTTCTGCTCACGAAGGCCACTTAGGCTTCTGGTAGCCACCAAATCGAAGGAGTAAGTGTCAAGATGGGCAAACAGAAAAGATTATCCAGAAACATCAATTACTAAATGTTTCTTCTACAGTTTGTAGTGAAAACTGTGTAAACACTTTGCTGTGCAGAAGCTGTCCAACAGGCAAACAAATGACATAAATGAGATGAAGGGTCACAGGTTGTTTTCAGTGATAAACCTTGTGCTTCTAGAACAAGTGAGGATGTATTCTCGTTATACTGCAGTTGACTTCTGGCTTCCTTGTGCACAAACAGAACTGAATCACAAGGATTGTCATTCTGTCTCAGGTGTGAAGCTTTCTCAGACTAATATATGTCCAAGGGCAAGCAACTTCCACCTCATTAAAGCTTGCTTATTTTTGGATGACTAATGAAATCAGCCCTTACGGGGGTTTTCAGTCCATTATTGTATCTTATAATGAGGTTTGGTCCTGTTAATGTCTTGTGCATTATTAGCTTCTGTAATCCCAGAATTTGCCATAGAATAGAACATCTTAGTGAGGACTCGGTGCTAAATTTTAGTCCAGGATGTCTTGTCCAGTCTATTTTTTTTAATGGAAAAATCCTTAGCTGGTATAAGCCAGCAGAGCTGCACGGAAGTTTGTCTAGAAAATAAAGAGAATATAAATACCATAGAAAATTTCAGTCCTGTGTTGCTCACTTAAAGATGTAATAAATTTGAAAGTGTCAAATTTGATTAATAATATCTCATCTGCCTTGGAGAATGAAGATGGAGTGGATGATTTCTTCATGTCTATTTATTTGCTATTTATTTGTAAACTATGTGGATGCTTTCTTTAATCCAGAGCATGGTTGTGAATGCCAGAGAAAGATGCTGTCACAACAGCCTGGAGCTCTGGCAGCCTAACTTAAACTGCTGCTTTCTCTTCATTTACCTGCAGGCTTATTAAAATCCCAGACTGTCCTGAAGCACTTTGCTTTCAGATACGGGGAGCAGCACCACCGTATGTTCATGCAGTAGGAAGAGGTATGTAGCTGTGGTATAGTTAAGCTTGAAGTACAGCTAAATATATATGCGTGTGTGTCTGTCTTAATCAAGAAAGATCCAGGTTTCATTGTCAAACTTCTGTCAAGTTCTGACAACTCATTTATCCTTAGTATGAACTGAGTGTTGGGTCACTAATCCCATCAGCACAAACCAAGGAATAACTTCAGTCCACAGTGCAAGAAACTTGGTGGTACTGTAATCCATAGTGCTGCGGACAGCCTCGGGAAATTGTTGTCACTTGAGCTCTGGCAAGCTAGAAACGTACTTGTGTAGTGCACCTAACCTGCTTTCTTCTGAGACAACTAAGAGAGAGCTTTACAGCCACAGGGAATAAGAATTTAAAACTGAGGTGGCAGAGAAAAAGTTGAGGTGCAGTGCTGCCTGTTGCTTCCTCAGTATTTTTGCCTGTGGTCAGCCACAGCTGGATCACTGCAGTTCGGAATGTGCTGTGGGATCAGCAGGTTGGTAGACAGATCGTGTTTCTCAGTGGACATCACAAAGTATAAGATTTGAAGGCTACTTCTCTGTTTAGGTTGGTTTATACAGCTATAAATTACCAATATAAGATAGAGAGGAACTGCTGTAGTCAGTCTTTTGTCAGAGATATTTACTGCTTCCGTAACTAAAATGTGAACTGAGCTGCTAATAACGCACTGCTCGAAGCTTTATTTCAGCAGGTGCAGAAGACACGACCTTTCAGTCATGTACCACTTCCTTCCTTCTGAGCAAAGACATATATTCAGATATGTGCAGCTAGATTACAGGCAACCAGCAGCACACAAGTGCAACAAACAGCCTTCTCATGGAGACACATTGATTACACTCTTTCATAAGACCTATAAGCCCCCTGTAACAGCCGGCAGAGTACAAACTGGAAGTGCCAGCTGGAAGGACTCTCTGGAAGGTTTAGATTGGATGTAAGGAAGAAGTTCTTCACCGAAAGGGTTATCACACACTGGAACAGGCTGCCCAGGGAGGTGGTGGAGTCACCATCCCTGGATGTTTTTAAGAGACAGGTGGATGAGGTGCTGAGAGATATGGTTTAGTGGTGGACAGATACGGTTGGACTGGATGATCTCTAAGGTCTTTTCCAACCTAGTGATTCTATGATTCTATGATTCCTCTTCCAGGATTTTGCTAGCATGTATGAATTTTAAATGCTGGTGCCTTAAAGAAGTTAATCACTTTAACTGTAGATTTCTAGGAGCTAGGTTTGGCTCTGAGTCTCGTTCACATGAATCTGGAATACATCCATTGAAGTTGGTTATTGTACTCCAGATTTACTCTCGTTTTAAGTACATCATAGTCTTTTTCTTAGACCATGGCAAGGTGCGTAGCACACAAGTGTTCCGTGTCTTTCAAGTGCAACAAGCTGAAACAAGTGTAACTGTTTACATTTAAGCAAGATCTTAGCTAATGTATTCGTAAGGCTGGAAGAGCCATGTAAGAATCCCAAATGATTTCTCACAGGAATTTCAATTTCTAGCATGAATGCATTTAGGTCTAGGAGGTCTCTGGTTTTCCCAGCACTACTGAAAATGTGAAGGATGGATGCATGATGCTTTCCTTGCACAACAAAGCTCTCAGAATACTTAGTAGCAAAAGCACGACAACATTCAACTCACTTTTTGTTCTTACTCTTCGTAGCGAGAAACCCTTTGCAAACTTTCCAGTTTTCTCTTCTGTAGTTGGGTGGCTTTGCTGTCTAACTCTGCCCCGGTTGATTTTTCAGGTTCTGAGGCTGCAGCTGTAGGCCTTCATCCAGGGCAGTGTATTTTGAAAGTTAATGGGAATAATGCAATGCATGGAAATTATGTGGAAGTTCTGGAGCATTTTACAGCCTACAGGACGAGACAACAGGAAGCACTGGTATGAACACAAAACCTACAAGGAAGTGTAACTCCTGCCCTTCTTCTGTTCTCTCCTTTTTCGGTGCTTTTATGCTCACTAAATATTCAGCAAAGCAACTGAGACACGTCTCTCGACTTAACCTAGGGCCTTGGCATGAGGGTGGGTAACTGAGGGAGCTGATACAGTTGCCTATAGATGCAAAACATCTAGAAATTATATGTATGCCGATTCATACGCTGCATACAGTTGTAAGTATTATTAACTGCTAACTGAAGCTGGAAGTTCACCCAGATATTGATCTAGATTTATATTCTCTGGAAGCTGGGGGAAGGTTGGTACTTCAGCCAGCTTAGAAGATGTGAGATTGATAGCCAGATTCACCTTCCAAACCTAGAGGGATTGGGTATTTTTACTGAGGTCATAGCTGAAGCCTGTATCTCTTGGAAGGGGTTGTACCAGTGGGTGTACAGAACGCATGAAGATGCTGAGGAGGACCGAGTGCAGCAAGCAGCATCCACTGCCTATCTGAACGGCAGTCATCCTGGCTCCAGCAAGGATGGCTCTTCACTGCAAGGAGATGCAGAATTGGATCCCCTTCAGAACAGCCAACAGGAATCAGGTAAAGGTTCTCATGGGGAAGGAAAGGAAAATTGCAGTAGGAATGTAATGTGTAATTATTATTGTGGAATCTCTCTTGTCTTCGTAAAGCTTCAGAATAGGATGAGGTCTGCCAGAGGAAGTACTTTTATGCTGCAGTTTATTCAGGAGAAATAAAAATTGAGATACATGCAGAAATCATACCCCTGTGACTCTGATCTTTACAGGAAAGTTTCTGGAATGAAAAGGCTGAGTGTTTTTAGAGTCATTTGGTAGCCCCTGCAAACCAGAAATTTATGGGCAGTAGCAACTGGAGAGGGAAGGTCTGCAAGTAACTCCACCTAGAATGATCTATATTTTATGTGCTGAAGCTTAAAGATTAAGATTTTAAATTGCTTTGATCTGGAGCAAGTTTTCAGAGCATGTTACCACTATGTCAGCAAAACGTGGGGGCGTATTTCCTCCAACTTCCAGCGGCATAGGTCATGAAAGACTGCCTTACGTTCATGCTGAGAGCTTATTCAGAGAAGTAGATGTAACGGGAGGATACTGAAGCCAGACTCAATCCAAAGGACTGAGCCTGGACTCTCTGAATGCCATTTGCAACTTCTCCTGGATCAGATGTGTATCTGTGTGGATCCCATCTAATGTCTGGTGAGCCTGGTAGTGTAATGGTCACAGGCAACCGTGGGAGCAGTGCCCTGGTAGAGGCATGTGAGCGATTCTGGGCAAATCTCAATCTGACTGTATCTTAAATCTGTTCTGTGGTGACTGTAGCATTGCTGTGTGTAAAAAAAATCTCCTCACCCTGCTCCAGCCCTGCTATCTCAGTCTTACAGCTGCAGAGAGAACGTACCTGCAGCATTCCCAAAATTGAACAGAAGAGTGGCAGTCTTCCAGAGGGTCTTCACGAACAGGACTCCGAGATTAACATACGTCACTTCCCTCTGAAAGCTTCTGCTGGGCTCTCTGTGTCAGTGCTGAACAGGACTTACCGCAGTGTCCTGTGCACGGATGCGTGTGTGCACACGTGGAAGAACATCACAGTGTGATTGGAGCCTGTGGGTTGTCTAAACCTCTGTCGCTTTCTCCAGGAGTGGCCAACAGCAAATGTCTTCCTCAGAGTGTTCTCCCAGCCTCTAGCAGGGTGGGATTCAGAGACTTCTCGAGCTGAACGTTCTGTCTTTGTGTCTTTGCATTTCCCAGTACCTCTGAACAGGTTCCTCTTCCCTTTGCATGCCTGTGCTCCTGTCTGCTGCCAAACTCCCTAATGACTGGCTTTGCTTCCAGCCCAGACACCACAGGCCGTTGGTTCTGCACTGTCCGTTGGAGAGGAAACACCTCTCGTCAGCCTGACTGTGGATAACACCCACCTGGAGCACGGCGTGGTGTACGAATACGTCAGCAGTGCAGGAATCAAATCCTTTGTCCTGGAGAAAATTGTGGAACCAAAAGGTTGCTTCAATCTCACTGCAAAGGTACCGGAAAACCACGGCCAGCTTCATTTCTAAACAGAACAGGGCAGCCAGTAATACCGGCATTTCTATGGAGGCTTGGCTCTCCGGATGAGGTGGCACATGGTCTTCTCAACCCTGCCTGGAGTTTTCCTCATCAGAATGCACCAAGTTACAATTGCTCATTTGGTATGAGCAACTCAGCCAACGTTTCCAGGATTTCAGCTCTCGAGGCTGGGGGGGGAGCCTTCAACTATGGAATTTTCACTCTTATCTGGCTGGTAACACACTCGTTGCTGATACTCCAGATTAATCTTTTCCCACAAGAATTTGCTTTGCCTTGGAAGAAAATCAAGCAGCATTTTGCTATCGGATAGAGTGGATGGGTCACTAAAGGAAGCAAGTGGAACTGCTGCTGCTGGAAAGCACCAGTGCCCTTAGTATTTTGGTCACCTCTGACAATAATGATCTAATAGTAAATGTTTCTGTCACTTCCCAGTAACATTATTGTAATGTCCCGTGGAAGTACACCAGAGCAGGTAACTTGGATGCTGCACAGTGGGTATTTTAATGCATTTCAATTATTCTAATAATTTTTGAGGTATGTTTTATGACTCTGGGGACTAGACAGTGTAGGGACTCTCAAGCAGTAATAAAGGCAACTTGTTCTGAAGGCAGCTGTATTTAACTGTGACATCATGGGGGCTTTGCCATTTATTCAGTGGAAAAAAACTGGTTTTCCTCACTGTCAAGTCTCGTATCATTGACATCCTGTCTTTTTGTTTAGATTTTAGAGGCCTTTGCTGCAGAGGACAATCACTTCGTTAGGAATTGCAAGAGACTGATATCCCTAAGCAGTGCTGTGGCCACCATGCCCCAGTATGAATTCCGGCAGATCTGTGACACTAAGCTGGAAAGCATTAGCAGACGGCTCGCCAACTACCAAGAGGTACGACACCACCAGTTACTGGTGAAGTCTCGAGACAATGCTTCATTGTGATAGCTGGGTCTTAGTATTCTTTGTTAATGAATCCAAACTGCTTTAGAGGCAGGTGTCCTAGGGGCATGAAAACAGCTCTGCAAGTTACTGAAATTGCAAGTTTTGAGGAAAAGGGACCTTATCTGTAAATCACTTTCAGCTTGTCAGAGCTGTGGCTTATAACGTATTATTGCAGGTTCATGTCCACCGTGTCAGTGAATAAATGTGACAGCAGAATGATCCGTGATTTACCATGAGCATCAGTAGAGTGTATCATAGTGCAAACAAAACCGTTTGTGCTTTTGTGTGCAGCTTCCTGAGCCATTTGAAAAGAGACACCTAGAAGGTATAGCTAGTTGCTTACATTTGTTGTTTTATGAGCTCTTTCTAATTGTGTTATTCCAGCTCCAGCAGAAATCATACGATTCTGGAATAGGAGGCAGGAAAAGGATTGTATTGCATCATAATTTTTGGCAAGTGAAGTAGCACGTGCTTACTTTATTTTTTCCAGTTTGCAGATGAACTGAAAACAAAGGTGAACCCAGCCTTCAAACAAGCCATCATGGAACCACATTCCCTCAACAGCATGGATTTCTGCCCCACCAACTGCCATGTCAACCTCATGGAGGTGTCATACCCCAAAAACACTACCTCAGCAGGGAGGTCGTTCAGCATTCGCATTGGACGGAAACCCTCTATTATTGGCCTTGATCCAGAACAAGGTGATAATCAACTGTCAGATCTACTGACTCTGTCTCTGTAAGAAGTTGTGTCTTTCCACTGCTCAGGTTAAAATAAGTTTCAAAGAACCACAGCCTTGCTGGTACCCTTTTTTCCTCCTTAAAATTTTATAGTAAACTGACAGCCTCCTTGTGTTGTACCCAGCAATGCCTGCAAGCGTGGAGAGGCTCCAGGGCAGGTGCTTTTACTAGCTTAGCAGTGTGGTCACCTCATGATAATTTAGCGTCCTGGAGTGTCGTTTGCGCTTGGTAGAGGTGACTTACTGACTAAAAAAAAAGTGAATGGGGGCTAACCGTAGTGCTGGTGCTGTGAAGAGGGGCTGCATTCAGGGGGAGAACATGAGTCAATCAGATTGCAGTGCTGTTTCCTTTTGTCATTACTAAATAAATTCCATGCATTGGAGCTGAAAACCTCTACTCTGTCAAGGGAATTTATTTTCTGATAAATAGCTGCTATGTAGCATTTGTCCTACAACCTGATTATTTCAGTTCCAGCATTTCATCATCATGACCTCACCTAATATGTTTCTGATTCATTGTCTCGTGAAGGTCAGAGTGCAGGAATGTTTGGAAGAGACACAGGGAAGCATAGACTGAGCAGTCTTCTGAAGAATGGCATTGAATTCAAAATGAGGTCGATAAAGAAGCCGTGCTCACTTGAAGATATTAAAATTCCATAGTATTTTTAATGCAAGCCAAGGTGGTTAGCAAAGTACTGTACAAAACTGTCAGAATTTTAAATGAATAGGGATTTTATTTACCTTCTGGAAGGACATAATCATATCTTTTTATATATACATATGTCTGTGTGTGTAAATACTTGTAAAGCTGGAATAATAACACAGGCCAACTCCTGAGAACCTGAGTTCATTAATGTTTCTTCAAATGCTTTTAGGTACTACCAATGTTGTCTGTATAAGTGTGGATAGTTGCTGTCTTTAATTCCATTATTTAACCTGTTTCTGGACCGCAGTAAACTCAAAACATCTAGTTGCCATGCCAGGGGAAAACCAAACAAAATTCTGTTTTAAGAATGTTTTTGTCATAGTATGAAATTATATAAAATAACTTTGTGAACGTTTACTTTTACTGTTAAAATTCTACCTATGCTAAACTATCATTATTGGGATGGAGTGTGGAAAGTCACAAGAGCCATGCTAACTAGACCCTTCAATGTTTAGTAGGTACCTTAAATCCCATCTCGTACACCCAACATTGCATCACCACTATGGCTGCACCATCCTGGAGGTGTCTGACCCCAGAGGATGGAGATCTCGATGGAAGCTTCGGCCAGCAGAATGGAGGAACAGTTCAGGAAGAAAGGGGACTCAGCTTTCTGCTGAAACAGGAAGATCGGGAGATACAGGACTCGTACTTGCACCTTTTTAACAAACTTGACGTTGCCGTGAAGGAGATGAAGCAGTATGTCATTCAGATAAACAAGTGAGTAGTCCTGAGTGCGCTGCAGGGGGGATGCTGGTGAAGCGGAGGCATCAGCCGCAGGAAGCACGCTGTGCCCGTCGGCCCCAGCCGTCGCACGCTTCCACTCGCCTTTTCCCACATGCACCTGCCTTACGGCTCCTTGCTGGCTGTCACACCCACTCCTGCGCAGATCCGCTCCTGTATGCGTTACTGTCCCTTGCTCCTAAAAGCCCTCCTGAATTCAGCAGCCACTCTTTTGCTTACTAGGTATTTCAATATAAGAATCTATTTGGTTCCAGCAGTGGGTTTGGAATTCCCTACTTCGTCTGTTGTTAGGCAAAACTTGGGATTTGAGTCAGCTTTCCCTATGGCACCTATGTTTTCCTTTCCTCCTTTTCTCATCTTCTCGTAATGGGTCTCCTAGTAGCAGAAATGAAGGATTTGAGGAGTGTGTCTGTGTGTCGTGTAACTGGAAGGGGCTGCAGGGGTGCTCTGTGTGGGGGAAGGCCATAACCTGCCCTAAGCTGCTCATAGCCCCTTCCAGGAATCCCAGTAGTGAACAAGAACAGCCCACCGTGCACCAAAACCTCGACTGTGAGGCATGTGGAGCCTTGGCTCAGACATGTTTAAGGAGGGGCGGTAGCTGCTGGGTAGGGCCAGCCAGCTGAGGCACTGCCCCAGAGGAGAAATCCTGTGCCTTGGATGGAGAAAGTGAAGCCTTTGGTGAAGTAAAACCAGAGCCCTTTTGATGGTGCTGTACCTTACGGGGGTAACAGGACCTTTGTGAACTGAGGTTCATGGATCGCAGTGAACCCCTTTCCGAGCCTGCAGCTTTAGGTAGCTGTAGTCTGGGTAAAGTGCTGGCCAGGCTGCTTTTGCTTGCACAGAGCTGGATTCCAGCCTCAGGCACTCCGCCTCATCCGTGAGACTACCCGCCAGTCCCTGAGTGCCCAATGTTTTACTTTTGCAGACTTTTGTCCACCATAACAGAACCTACAGAAGGTGGTGCCTGTGAGCCACCATCTACTGAGGAGACACCTCCACCTTCCCTGGGGACAGAAGAGGGTGATGCTGACAAAGCTGAGCACGGTGGCATCAAGAAGGTCTGTTTCAAAGTTTCTGAGGAGGACCAGGAAGACTCTGGACATGACACAATGAGTTTCAGAGACTCCTACAGGTGAGTATGACGATTGTGCCACTTTCACCTTACTAACATAACAGTTTGAAGTTCTAATCCAGGTACGGATTCAACAAGCAGGTTTTTTTCCACAGTCAATTATTCTGTATTCACTTAGTAAAGTATTCCCTAGCTATAAGGTTTCATTACATCTATTGCCATGGAGACAGGCAGAGGAAAACCCCTTTTCTCATAACAATTCCAAAATACCAATGCTTCAAGAAAATGGAATAAAATGAAATAAACAGGTCTGGTGTGACTTTCCCTTTCTATCCCATACAGCTGGAAACTACAGGAGCTCAGCAGAGTTTGCAGACTGCTTGGTCTTATAATGGCTGGTATTGTAAGGGGATGTTTCCATTCGGTTCTGCAAACAATTTTCCCAAAAGTCTAAGACACTGAGAAAGAGAAATGGACACTGAGGTTTTTATTTGTAATGGGCGTTGAAACCACAAATGCAAATATTTATTCAGGTGCCTCAAAATCTCAGTTTGGGGACGTGATTGACTGCTGCTTCTCCAGGCATATTTGCTACCAAAGGAAATCGCTCACACTCCAAATCTTTCTTGGGTGGAAACGTTGGGAAATTCAGCTTCGGAAGAAATGGAATAACAAGTTGCAGTCATATCTGACTGTTGTAATTTTACATCCTTGACAGGCCATTTTTACACTTAGAGTAAGGCTGTAGGACTGTGCCTGTACGAAGGAGTAAAGACACTTACAGTGAGTTGGGAGGATTAAAGTAACCTGAGGGAATGATGCGTCTTTGCAACTCCGATGGCACAGGCCTGACTCTTTACTTGCTGTTGGTTCTGTGCTAGTACAAGCAGTACCATGCTGTCGTCATGCAGAAATGACAGAATCGGAGCAGTTTACATTGGAAGGGGTCTGTGGAGCCCATATGGTCCAATCTCTCGCTCGGAACGGGTCCAACAAGATTGGTTGCTCAGGATCTTGTCCAGTTGGATATTGAACATCTCCAAGGACAGCAAATAGGAAGTCGGCGAAGAAGCAGAAGCAGCACTTAGTGTTGAGATCTGTGGTGTCTGCATTGTGCCAGATTTAATCTGCATGTGTGCTCTGAAGCTTTTTTATTGCAATGGGCTATATTTCTTTCATTGCTAATAGAAATCCCATTTATGAACACTGATTAGTTTAAATGGTTCTGTAATTGAGGCTAATCTATTCTGGGTAACAAAGTGACATCAAAAACAGTCTCTGTGGGTCTGTCACTTGTTCCAAAATTTTACACATAAATGTGAGAAAGATTATTTTGTCTTATCTTTATTAGACAGAGGCAGAGGAGTAAGCGTATATAGCAGATAATAGTTACTCGGGGGGAATAAAATGTATTTTGATGGGTTTTCATCTGAAAAACTACTGAGGGGCTACAAAAACAAGCAAACTGCAGGTAAGAAAATACCTTGTTTGCATTAGCCGTGCTTCTTCCTCTGAGATCATTTGGAGGTGGAAGTCAGATTTCGCATGGGTTTGTACTGCAGAGTAGCTGCTGTAAGTATTACTCTTCAGAAAAATAGGTGTCCTGGACAATAGATTTAACAAAGGGCAGGCAGGAACCCTAGTTAGGGCTCTTTCAGTTGCTCTTGTATTTTTCTCTCATCTCAGTCTAATATGAAAACAGGAAGAGGCAATATGGAGAATTTTGTAGCCTTTGCTTTGGGCTTGTACCATTAAAAACACTGTGTCATTTACTGGGGGGGCACAGACTGAGATCGTAGGGTTTTCATTACTGTATGCAGTTATGGCTGGTGTGAAGTGAACTTTCAACAGAGGAGATCCGTGCTAGAATTTTCCATGTGTGCAAGAGCCAACATTGGTGTGAAGCCAACAGTAGTGCCTTCCTCTGCTTCCTGAGGTAATTTTAGGATCTGCAGTGCCTGATTCTCCAATGGTGTAGATTCCTTAAAATTTCCTCTCCCATCTCCAGTATCTGTGCTCCTGCAGCTTCGATGTATGCTGGAGTTGGATGCTGTTCATATCCTGAGAATTGGTAACAAATGTTGAGTTTAGTGGAGATTCAATCTCATAGATTTTAATTATTTCTCCCCTACTCGATGCTCATAGAGCATGTTTAATGATGTGACCCAGATGAGGTCTGTGGTGGGAAGTCCATTTTCATTGTTCATAGGATCCAGGCAGTCATGGCAGTTGGAAAAAGATCCTCTGTCAGTGCCAGCTCCAGAGGCTCTGTTAATGGTCATTCTTAATGGTCGTTCTGCTTGTCATTAGTTTTTCTTTGGTATATGCATAACACAGTTAGTTTTGGGGACTGCAGTGTTACTAGAACCAGAATGATGGCATATCAGAGACTGGCTGTGAGGACAGCTTCTCTTCACTCACCGTCCTTGCTTTTCTTTCTAGTGAATGTAACAGTAACCGGGACTCAGTGCTGTCCTACACCAGCGTACGGAGCAACAGCTCCTACTTGGGCAGCGATGAGATGGGATCAGGTGAGTCTGTGCGCAGGTTACTTGCGCGTTTCCCACACCAGACCCCTTAGTAGACTTGATGAGTCTTTGCAGATTATAACTTGCATGTTTAAGTTGCAAAAGTGTTTTTTTCAGAACTAACCAGAAGAACATAAAGGTAGAGAATTGCTCTTTTTCTAATGAACCACAGCGAATTTGGAATATGGAAGAAGCATTAGGCAGGAACAAGCTTCTTCGCTTATTGACATTTGTATTACATGAAAACTCCTGTCTAGGTAAAACAGCAATCATTTTTCACCCGCTCCAGTGTGAAGGTGAGTTTGTGTCATCTCATCACAGATTACACTGGTAAGAAAATTGAAGCTTTTTATCATTCCTTTATTAGGAGATGAGCTTCCCAACGATATGAGGATTCCTTTAGACAAACAAGACAAACTTCATGGCTGTCTGGAACATCTTTTTAACCAGGTACGTAAAGCATTACTATTACACAGAACAGCTCTTTATCCATGTCCATGCCAGAAACCGGAAGTATTGAATTGTTTAATGAAAACATACTTTGAGGGAAGGCAAGCTATCAAGATTTTGGGGTACTGTGTAAACAAATATATTGTAGGACAGTTTGAGGAATCAGTTTTGTCAGCATACAAGTTGTCTTGTGTGATTTAAGCAAGATTAACCTGCCTTATCTCAGGCATTAGACTGAGGGAAGAAAATCTTTAATAAAAATTAAGTCATTCACAGAATTCTAATCCTTTGTATGATCTAAATGGATCACACTTAGAGATCTCAGGAGAGTCCTCCCGAGTTCAGCCAACAGATGTCCTTATAGATGTATAGCCCCAGAGATCGTTTCGTATCCTCTTTTATCTCATCAGCACGTAGATCGTCGTTGTGCAAAATGCTGTATTCAGTGTGAGGCTCTGGAGGCCAGTTCATGGTTAGAAATTCTTAATGCCATTTGTCAGCAAGAAATCATTCCAAAACACAAACAGTGTAATGGCTTTTGCATTTTCCTGCAAGAGTTCTGTTAGATTTTCTTCGCGAGCCTTACCGACTCTGACTGAAGACATTCCAATTGTAGGTTGATGCAATCAATGCACTTCTAAAAGGACCAGTGATAACCAAGGCCTTTGAAGAAACCAAGCACTTTCCAATGGACCACAGTTTGCAAGGTAAAGAGAGGTTGATTTTATTTAATGATGTGATTTGCTGGGACTTTAGAGCTTAACAGGGAGGTACATATGCCGTGTAGCCACAGAAGTTACTAACCCGAGCAGGCTGCCCAGTCGTGCATTGGTGGCAGGTACCGGGTCTGACCGTCCAAGTTTTGCATCCTTAGCAGGTCATTTTCACATTAACTCCTTCTGAACCACACAGAGCACTGGGCTGCTGTGGGCTGCGGAACCCTGGCAGCTCTTCGACGATCTGCCCTTTGAAGTGAACACAGCTGCGTGCCCCAAAAGGCTCAAGGTAGAGCTAGGTCAGACACCAGGTGAGGGAGCGCTCTGGTAAGCTGACGAGGGACTGGTCACTGCAGGTCTGAGGCACCAAAACGTTCTGCCTGAGTTTGCTTAATGACTTACTCTGCTTTTCGTCAGATGGATAATTGCCAGAGTAAACTCATCCTCACATGACACTTATTTTGAAAAGTGATTCCCATGGAGAGAAAACAAATGGTGCCGTGTTTTCTTTTTCCTCGGGGAGCATGATGAGGCTTTGGTCTTAATGGTTTTGAGGCCCAGGATGTGGTTTCTTCTCTCAGTGAAATACACAGGACTTCATTTTCTGAACAGTTGCTGCATTTCCTTTCCCACTTGAAATCTGAAATGTTTCCTACTATTCCTCCTATACTTCAGGTGCTGCAGTCATACCCCCTGCTCCAAGCTCTGGTTTTAATTTACAGTGGCAACCTCTGGCAGAGAGCTTTGTCTGCCGTTTCATTCCTGACTCCAGAAATAACTCCTATGAAGCTGTTACATGAACTCATCTCTACAAACACATTCATGTAGAATATGTGTTAGTCTTTCCATGCCCTGTATGAATGATGTGAAGAAATACCAGACACCCTGTGCTCACTTCCTTTATTTTATTTTGCTTAAACAGGATCTAATTTATTAAAACTACATTAATTATACTGAGAGGGTCTTTTAGTGAACTGATGATCCCACATTCATCACACTAAGGAGCAGACAAGCAGCTGGAATCCCAGACCAAAGTGTCTGTTTAATAACTACCTCGGACACCTTTCCATGATGGATGTACATCCGAATGCTATCCCATTTCTGTTCATGAGCAGTTATTTGGCACAGTTCCGCTGTGCTTCTCTCTCTGCTTACGCATGAGACAATGCGGGTATTTGGCTTAGCTACACAGCTAAGTCATGGAGAATAAATCTTCTACTCTGTAATTAAATAATTAGCTTCCATCAGGTGAAAGAAAGCAGAATATTTCATAACTTCTTATCAGTATTATGGGATGTCACAGCTGCAGCCAAAAAGTTGATCTGATTCTGCACAGCCAGAGCTGAGATCCACGCGCCCCCAAGATTAGACACAGAGACTTCTTTTTCCTTCTGTATTGGATTTATTTAAGAACCTTTTTCATTCACAGTTGTTGCTGTTGGTACTGTGTCTCTGCTGTCATCTGTACACACATTAGAACTCATAAGCCACTCACAGCTACGTGGCATTTCCTTCACGGCTAACACACTCTGTTCTTTCTAGAATTTAAACAGAAGGAAGAAACCACAGTTAGGTGCCGGAATAATATTCAAGCCAGCATTCAAGAAGATCCATGGAACCTTCCACTGCGCATCAAGAACCTTGTTGAAATCATACAAAAACATGTGGAAGGTCTGTAAATAAGGAGAAGTTGGTTATTGGTGTCAGGGAGAACAGATCTCGATGTAACCAAGCCTAGCAGTTCATCATTTTCTCTCCGTTGGTAACAGGGCTGTACTGGGCTCTAGAGAAGAGCAGGTGAAACAGGTCACTGTTTGCAGAGTCCCAGGGCTGCATGGTAAAATCTCACCTGTCAGCAGTTCCAAAGGATTTTCTTTCCCTTGTATTATTTCATCAGCCCGTTCAGAAGCAGGATATCAGACTGATCTGTTTTCCTGTGCTGCTTTTAACCCTTTCAGAAAATGGAGAGAGACATGCTGGGTATATTCCGAAATGAAACGAATGCTAATCAGATACGACAACATCCGAAAGCGTTCCAGTCTGGTTGAACTGGAACGGGAGATGGGTCTGGTGCTTACAGTCCAGTGCTAAGCACTTAGGGATCCATCTCCATGTGCAGTTTGTTCCCAGGGGTGGTTGACAGAGCCTGTAAAATTCTTACTTTACGCCTTGTTTCTCTTCCCACCATTAACATGTCCCTGTGGGTCAGAACTGCTGGAGTAAATAGACACGTCCACGTAGCGGCCAGGGACTGTGGGGAATGGGGAAACTGTAACCACATGCCATCAAATCTACCTTGGTATCGCACTGACTGGAGCATTCCTTTTCTTCACTGTTTCAGATGGGAAGAATCAGCTGCTTTTGGCCTTACTAAAATGCACAGGTAAGGGGGTTGGATTTCTTGCAAAACAACATCATATACACAGAAGTCCCTTACACTTAGAGTTTGATGTGCATACATCAGGATGCTGTGGTTTTCCTTAGCATTTAGGTTTTTCCCTGGCATTCTGTGCTACTATTTCCCGTGCTCTGTGGACATCGTGGACATCGCCAATCTGTGACTGCACACAACGCTGTGCCACCTAGGGCAGCTTCTCCGTGTATCCGACGCCTGTTCTTCAGTGTATGTTGTTTCAGTTCCCTGTGGGCTGCTTGTGTTACCTGGCTGGTCGCTGGTGTCTCACAAGCACCACTTTTCTTTTTCCTGTGTCTTCATTTTTTTTCCTTTGTACAGTCCTCCTTCCCAGATGGCCTTTACTGTTTCCTGCTGTGGTGAGAACATGCAGCAAAAATGAGACCTATTACACAACTTTCTGTGAGACCATGGGCTCTGTCATCTTTCCAACCAGAGCAGGCGTGTTAGCAGTTAGGGTTGTGTGTTCTGGAATTACAGCCAGGAGCAGAGGAAGAACCTAACCGTGCAGGTGCAGGCAGCACCTAAATACAGCGTGGACATCGCCGATCTGTGACTGCACACAACGCTGTG